TCTCTCTCTCTCTCTCTCTCTCTCTCTCTCTCTCTCTCTCTCTCTCTCTCTCTCTCTCGCGACCACTCCGTGTACATGCACGTATCTACAGGGTGTACGCGATTCCGATCTTCGAAACCCTCCCGGCGAACCCCTCGAGGAACATCGAGGACAATCTTTGCGTTCAAGATATTGATGTACTCGAGGCCGCTGTTAACCCTCTATCGCTTCAATTTTCTCCTTATCTTTCGAAAAAGAAATTATTTTTTGGATATCTATGCGTTTAGAACTCTTTGATAAACAGTTATATTAAGTGAAACATCGATCTGTGAGATTTAATAAAATTAATAATACTAATAAATATTAAAATTCCTTCTTTTATCAAACTCGCAAGAAATCTACTTTTAAAATTCAATTTCTAAAATATCTGAAATATTTTCGTAATTGAAACTTGAAACAATGTATCATAGTAGTTATTGATTTGTACGTGTGCATTGTTTGCACAGTGAAAGAGCAAGAACTCGTAGAAATGAAGCGAAATTTTGATATAATATGTAAATATACTGCCTTGAATATATTAATTAAGGAAGTTCCGGAAATTCTAAAAGTACTCCGAAAGCAAGGTTTTTGATTAAAATGTATGACTACACCCTATGTATAAATACACATGTATGGTACGAAAGTTTCAAGCCTCTTTTCGTGGTTTCCTCTTCTCTTCCTTCCTTCCTTTCTTTCCTCTACAATTCAGTAGGAGAGAGTAGAACACAACACGTTTTGCGAAACTTCCTTATCGAGAAGTATGATTATTATAACAGCACAGCTCGATAAAGCCCACCTACTCACTGTTCCAAAACTAAACCGTGAATAATCGATCATGTGTCCTAATACTGACGCTAATTTTTTTTAAACCTTTCATTGCAATCTTTCTAAATACTTTCTTTGCGAATAAGAATGTTCCTCCACTGATCTACGTGCTCTCACGTAAAAGTTACATCGAGGCAACACGTTATCAGTTCCAAAGAACGAGAAGAGAATGTCGATAAAGAATCGTTCGATAACACTGTGACAAACAGTTCCACTATGGAAGACATCGAATGGAAATTTTGCACAACCTCGAATATTTCATTCGTCACTGACGCGCAATTTGAAGTATGTTTTTCACCAGAAAATAAATTTCACCGCTGAATTATAGCGAATACGAGAGCTGCTAACGAGACAAAAACTCTGAACAATGGCTGACGTGATCCACGTACGTCAAAGACACGCCTCGTTCGAGATGAAGACAGTAAACTTTTCGATAGCGGATAACGTTAATAAAAAGGAAACAAATGTATGAGCTGTATTTGCGTAATTGAACATGGCGTTTGTAAATATAAGCTTCTACGACGATGCAAAACAGAAGTTTGCAGATTGGTAACGAGAATCCGAGATTTAAACAAATTTATTTCAATTCAGTTAACTTGATTAATAACTTTGCTAATAGTTTTGCTAAATCATTAATTATTTATATTTGGCACTAAAATGTTTTGTTACATCCGCGACGGCCTTGTGGTAAATTCTTGTCGAGATACTTTACTATTATTAAAGGCATGAGATTATCTTATGCGTGTCGTACATAAAACGTAAATTTTATTCTCGGCATTGTGCCATTAAAATTAATGGCATTTAGCGAATTATCTTGCTGCGTGAGTAATAAACCGATTAATGCGAATTGGCGTATTCTTATCGCAAGTAAAAAAACTTGAAGGAAGGGAAGATGTTTATTGTCTTCTGATTGTTTTAAATAAATAATTCGTATGATACTGCGATGTTTAAAAATAATTTAATGCGAATGAAAGACTTACCATTTTCTCCATCCGTCAGTGCACCAGCATCATCTTCGCTCTTCTTAAGTTTATCAACTGTAACAACAACAAATATTCTATTAAACAAAAGGTCAGAATGATTTTGTATCGATTCAATTTAAGAATCTGTTAATGGCATTAAAACGTTTATATTACTTACCATGAAGCATATGATTTTGAGAATGATGGTGATGATGCGACGAGGGAGGTTTTCTTTCAGGAATAATACGTTCCATCAGCTTGCTTATGCGTTCGTTGACTCTTTCCTTTCTAACCAACGGCCCTGGACAATTTTCTTCCACCACGCGAACACACTGACGATGTACACTTAGAGAACAATCTATAATTGAAATTACGTCGAGTTTTCGTTAAATTTTTACTGTGACTTTTATTTGAAATCTATTGCATAAAGAGTACATCGTATAAACATAATTGTACTTACCACTACATAAATATCCTTGAGGTCCAATTCCACCGATGATAAGTTGACAATGATTACAATAAGTAATAGTGAAGTACTGATTAGCTACAAAATGATGACCTCTGATTGTCATTTTTCTTGCCTTCCCTGTAAGCAAGCGTCCTTTGAAATTCGATTTATCTTTTGCAACAAACGTAGGTACTCGGTCAAGCGATACTGGTCGAACTTGGAAAATTTTTGTCAATATTGTTGCTAAGCCCGCTACTGTTGTAAATTGTCGCAAATCCACGTGTTCTTTCTCTATATCTTCTCTGAAAATTTTCATAAATATACGATAATGTAATACCAAGCATCAACGTCAAAGGATAAGAACATGTATTATATAAATCTAAATTAATTGTCATACAGGTAAGGCTCCATCTTGGGTAAGAGGTATGTTTCTATGATTTTTGTTTCTCGTGCCTTGTCAGATACACTTTCATCCAATTGAGCGTCGCTTGGACCAAATAACGTACCCAATCCAGCAGTTCTCTTTTGTTGAAAGTCTGCAAGCTGCTCGTTCAGTTCTTCCTTTGCACGTGTTCGTGCTTTCAAAAAGATCTGCCGAAAGCATAACATTTGACAAAACTGTACCAAATGAATATTAATATATAATTCATTACATACTTTTCGCAAAATCTCTTCCTTATCAGATTCCTTTAAAAGAACATCGTCTATTTCATGTGCTACATTTTCGTCTACGTTATGCAGACGGAGAGGCTAAATAAAGAAGTTTATATTAAATACATAACTTGAGCGACAAAATGAATATCTTTTTTTAAACTACTTACTGCACCAGGTACTAAAAAACTAGAATGAATTTCATATGCCCACTTCCTCATTTCCTTCGCATTGCCTTCTTTGTACAGATCCGTTACTAAATAGAACAACTACAATGATATGAATACTTTTAGATAATGAAGCTTACAATCAATACTGTAAAAACACAGTATCTGTGTACTAATATAAGACGTGGTACTCACCAGACTGGAGGGATCACTATTTGATAAAACGTAATTAATAAATACAGAAAGGTGTGCGTGATGTCCCCATAATCGAGATAAAGATTTGAATGGACCGTGATCTTCTAATTGACCCTAAAATGGTTTTTAATTATAATCAAATAATATTATTAAAAAGGAACCTTTGATGTGTAGAACTTACAACTTCTTGGTCACTCATATCATCATCTTCCATTGACATGATTGGCTGCTGTAATGTTGGCAATCCAGGAATGCTTTCATTTAAAAGAGTCTGTAAAAGAAAAAAAAAATATATTTAGTTAAATATCATCCCAATAAATATCGTCCCATATCCATAAGTTCGGTAAGAATGATTTATTTAGCAGATCCTGCTTTATCGTTAGATACGACACTTACATCGTTTACAGTAGAATTAGTTGTATCATTTCCTGGACTAGCGGTTAGATATGGTGGAGGTGGAGTTCCTGGTGGAGTGATATGAAGTAATTCTTCTATATCAATGTCACTATGCCTCACATGCCTTGGAGGAGAAAGATCATTCATTGATTCCGATGCTATTAAACGTCTACTAGCTTCTGATGGAGAAATGGTTGTAGTTCCTAGTTGTTCTGGACTGGATTTTGTCCGTTGGTGCTTGTTGAGCGAGTTCGAGGAGCCTAAATTCGCACCCTGTGAAAACTACAAGAAAGTTCGATAATAATTAAAAAATTATCGATAACCGTAGACTGAAGTATAGAAATAAAGTAAAAACATTGTACAATTAATTATGCAGAATAGTAATAAAATACATAATATGCATATAACCACTAAATCGATCTTATAAAATAAACAGTGCAATCACAGAAATTACTGCAATGAAAGACATATTTTTAAAGAGACACCATAAACTTCTAATGAATTACAGAAACCATACTCCAATGCATTTCACAACCATACTTGAAACGACATTACTTAATACAATTTCATATTATTCAAGCAACACAATATCAATGAACAATGAACGTAGTTTATATTAAATATAACGTTTGCCATAACTGCACATAAACCTATTTGTATAACATAGATACTATGATGAGGTGTGTGGACTGAAACAAATGTAGAGTTAAGTATCGTAAAATGGTTTAAAAGCTATTACAATTTAAAACTATGTAATTGTTCAATGGATAAATATGAGTTACTTGTAGAAGTATGCACATTACTATGTGATACTTTTTCTTTACCATGCATTTGTATAAATTATTTATTTAATGACTTAGTGATTAGACTACTTACAGAGTTAGGTATGCCATGACTGGTGGTTGAGGGCGTTAAATGAGTCAACAGTTGACACTCCAGCTCCAACTGGGCTACGTTGTGTGTATTTGTGGGAGGAGGTCTAGGAGGCAATGGTGGTGGAGACAGGCTTTGCATGGACAAGGATTTACGAGATGGTAGAGGCGGTGGTACATCACCACTGCTACTACTTAAAGGTGGATAATAGCCCGGGGAACACGAGGTGTTTGTTACCAACGAGCAAAGCTGTAAGACACAACAAAAGCTGGTTAGATAAAGTTAGCAAAAGCTTAAATACATCCCTACACGACCGATTTTGAAAATCTCGATTGCAATGCAAGCACACCTTGTATAAAAATTACATTTGAATAGCTTAAAAGGGAACATGTACAGAAGCATAACATAAGTTTTGTCGTTTCTTGCTGTTTACCATCATACACTATAAGCTATTAATATACCGATCAAAAATTAATAATAAACTACTACATACGAAATCAGTGATAAAAAGAACTATAATTATACTTTGATCATTATGCCTTAAAAACATAAACACCTTATTAACATCATGCCGAGCAACTATTTTATACAATGAACAGCATCAGCTCGAACTGTCAAACATTGACATAAAAGCAAGGCAAGAACAAATGTAAGAGTATAATAAATGTTAATGAATTAAGCATTAAAACGAACTCATATTTAATGAATAAGATTATGAATCATAACAGGATATTTATATTATACGTATAAATGGCTAATTTACTAATATAAAATTTATGCACTACATTAGTAGAATGAACAGAAATCTTAAAAAGTATTTGAACAACGCATGAAAGCACACCAAGTAAAAGAAAAATCAGACCTGTTCGTTAGTAGTAATCGCAGTTAGTTGATCCTGCAAGGTGCGCACCCTCCTCTCGGCACCTGCCAATTCTGCTTGGAGTGTTACAATGTTGACATTTCCGCTACCAGTGCCGGCCTTTGCAAGTTCACTTCGAAGCTTGTCAACGTAACTTTGTTCCTTCTCCAACATAAGCTGGAATGTATGAACGCGCTGTGTTTCCAGCTGGCGTTTTTTCTCGTGCTGAAACATACACAAAAAACAAAATTATTAAAACTAGTAGTAGATTAGGTGAAAATTAACTCCGCTTTTCAATGCCTTGCCCAGGGATGATACGCAGAAATTTATACGTAGAAATGAGGAATGTTATTTCGGCAACACTTTTTCATAAAATTTCGAAAGATAAAACTCCGTAACATTATCCACAAGACGCTGATTCATGGTATACTTGGGAGCGCCTTGTCGTTGAAATATTAGTATCGTTACATTAATTTGTGAAATATATTCGACGCATGCTGTGCGTTTATTCATGTAAACACGTGCTATGAATAGATAACATTTCCGGTTTAGTTATAACAGAAATGAAAAAGCTTGTTCAGGACATATGAATTTAAATAGATGTAAATATTAGTATTAGTATAATAATTTATGCAAAATGAAATATTGATATTATTACGTTAACGTATGCCAGGAATGCATAATATTCGCAGTGTAGAGAAACGAAATCTAGAATGTTTTGTTTTCGTCAGGTGTTTTCACTTACATCAACCGGTTGAGGACCCGTGATACGCGCGTTACACGGTGCACCGGCTGGAGCAGTCGACGCCCTGTGCAGAGAAGTGGCTGGCTGCGAGGGCGATACCATCGTTGTACCGGCTGACAGACTGACTGGCCGCTGATGCTGTCCACCCGCCAGACCAACCTGTAGCCCCGTGGCCGTCGTCGCCGCGCTGCTTGTTGCGACTGGCTTCTGCTGCACCGTCAGTACCACCTGCGTCGAAGCTGCAACAAGAGTTCAAGGACGATGATTAGTCACCTTTCGCATACCTCTGCCGGTCCTTCCCCCGCGTTTGACCCTCCACCTTTCTTTTGAGAACTGCTCGCGAACAATCACTACAGACGCTTTTTCTTTCAAACGGCTCGATATTTTCGCCGATTTCTCCCAGTAATTACAACGCGATACCCTAACGCGAACATCTTCATTTTTTCCGAACTGACGAAATCGTTTCTCGTGTCCGCGAATTTTTGAAATTCTTAAAAACTTCGTCTTTTTGTTTGTCGAGGAAAAAATGTATGCTCAATTGGAGGTTCGAATGTATAGAAAGGTGTATAAACGTTTCATCCAATCTTGGAAATCAAAATTCTCACGTTCTTGGTAATGAATGTAACAAATTGGTGATATCTCGTAATGAATACGTTGCATTGTCCTGGATATATTATTCTCGTTCATTTCAATACAATCTTTGCGTTACTTGTGTTCTTTAGATTTTTAACTCGTCGAGTGCGATAAGCAATCGCGTATCTATCCGGAAACTCAAAGTCCTTTGCACGTTGTTGGATCAACAAAAGATCCGTTAAGAAATCCCACAGCAATAAGCCGAATATCGTGTACATCGTACCGAAGATAACTTTGTATGAGATACAAGATACAATCAAGCGTTGCTAAGATTTTCCTGAATTACGATTTAAATAATGAAATTAATAAAAATAATAAACCTCTTAGAGAAACAGTCACCGGTTAATTTTGTATCCTCAGAAAACGTATCGTAAAACGTGCCTGACTTTGGAATACACCCACTCCAAAACCGTACACTGCAAATGTTTCATTACGTTGTCATTCATGTATGCAAATGAGTTAATTAACAACCAACGCGATTCGGTAAAAAAAATTTGTCGGAACAAATTTCAAACGAAATTTACAGAAACGATTTCGAAAGCGCATCGATACCTTGATATTCTCGACACTTGTTGTCTAAACAAGCCCAGTGACCGTGCAAGAATTCCACGTGCAACATATTTGCATGCTCGAGTAATCAATGTATACAAACATCATCGAAACAGCATTCAGTTCCTTGCGATAAATATGAAATTAATCACCGCTGCGAAAATCGCGCGACACACTAGAATCAGACTGCATTTAAATGAACGATTAGAAAGCTGATATCATCACAGCGAAATTATATAATTTGAAGGATCGTGAAATGCATTTTAGGAGCAGTTCAAAGTACCCGAATACGGTTTCGCGCGTGCTTTCTTCCAAGCCTGCCTCAGGTCGTACGTGGTCGGCGTCTTCATATAGACACAAATTGAAATAACCACGTTCGAAATGGATCGATTTTCGGATAATCTCGTCTCGTCGATCAGAGTTGAAATTCGACGGTATAGTACGCGCATCGAGAGCCGCGTCGACTACGAAACTGCGTAAAATAATGCCGACCCGAGGCGATCCGAGACCAAGAAGACACTCGTACCGAGAAACTTGGCCCCAGGTGTGTGTATTAATATGAATGACGAGATTCTTATGTTTACACGCGCGTACGACTAATCTTTCAATATATGACCAGGCCTCGTCATTCGACTATACTGCAACACCTTGGTCAATCCGTTCCTCTAATATTATCGTCCGCTTTTGGAACCGACTCGAAACGAAACCACCACTAAAGAAAGCCTACTTGCTTTCCTCTCCTCCAAAACTTTCTATGTACCATTTACAACACGTATTTATTCTTCTAATTATAACACTTTAATTGTGATTATGCTTCACCGATATTACTATTCGATATTACTTATAATACTTTCATTTCATTCAAAACATTCGGCGTACTATTAGCAAGATGTATTTATTATTCTAGTTACAAAATTCTAATCGTCATTATGCTTTGCAGATACTATCATTTGTCTTTAGATTCTATCATTTGAATTGAGAACATCACCAAACAAAAACCTGGAATCCTTTCTTTTTAGAACGTCTAAAATATGTAGCAGCGACGTACAGTAGTTTTCGCTATAGTTGGATGTAACAGCGTAACCTTTTCACTGGTTTTACCAGAATCCTTGTGTTGGTATAGATCTCGGGATAAACAATTAGGGACGCGTCTGTGTGGAAAACTCCGAATGAACGATTGAGTCAGCTGTAAATGGCACTGACTTGGCGGTCAGCTGCGAACCTACTCGTATTCAGCAGGCGCCTTTCCTCGTAAAACTATATTTATTTCAACAAGACTGCGGTTTTAACGCGATTAATCCACGTCGGAGTATCCACGTTAATCCGTTCCACGCTTCGTTACGTGGCACATTTTTCATAATACGCTAAATTTATAGAAACGACCAATTTTGAATATTAATAGTTTGTCTATGAGTAAATAATTCCAGGATTGAAATCATTTTCTTATCGTACGTATTTCAAGGAAGACATGTTTACGTGTTCGAATCATAATATCCCGTGTGAGTATGGTCTGGTTTTTATTTACTGAAAAATCATCGTGCGCGTCTGTTTTAAACATTCATAGATCTAGCGAAAGCTGGACACGCTTATAAGAGCGTTATGAAACGATTAACTGGGACAGTTGCCGTACTTTGGAATATTATCAGATTTAGGCGCGTAAAAGCGTCTATTCGAAGAGACCGGTGCACGTCAAGCACAGCTTTTCCAAAAATTTCTCTAACACGCGACCCCGATGTACGTATGTACTTGTAATTTTATAATTAACTGTAGAAAAACGCAATAAAAATAGTTAATAGTCCTCAAAGCTTTTTTTTTTTGTAACTAGCACCCTTATTTAGAAAGAGTTTGTAACTTAAAAGCTAACGTTAACTTTTGCATACTATCAAAAGGTATAATGAAAGCCCAGTCTGTTTTATAAAATTAAGTTAATAAATAGTTAATAAATAAATCAAGTTAATAAATTCAACGAGGTAAACATTGGAATTAAAAAGCCTAGACTCCCCAGTGGATAAAGCATTAAAACCCAATTTCTTACTTTCCAAAAAAGGAATGCTTTCGCTACCAAATCCTGTGAGAGCGTCGAATCTTTAATCACGTCCTGTTAACGAAACTTCCTTTGAACAGAGTACTGTTCAAATTACTCGGATAAACATTTGGCGTTCGACTTCGTTCACGCGGAGCTTGACACGTTACACAATTTTGCGAAATAACCACAGTTGAGGCGACGCGGAGGACTGAGCCTGCATCCATTGTGTTGTACCTGAACGGTTAGAAAGAGGAAGACAGAATTCTATGAACGGTCACCGCTATAAACTCACATGCTTACATCACTGGTAACGTCGCCGCAGAAACTCCGTTTCTGTCGGTGTGTCCGAAGTAGTCACCGACTAGACGCTCGGAATCTTTTTAAATGCTCTTTTGTTACATTTTACGTAAGTGAGGTGCGCTAACATCGAATGCGTCGTCGCGTCGATACGATTCCGCGATAATATTAACGGATGGAAAACAAAAATTATGGAAACAAAAATGACCGATAAAACTTTTTAAGTACACGAACGCTCGTTATCTTCGATTACGTACTGCACTTTCCTGCGGGCCTACGTGCTTCCAGATTTTTGCGCAATGTTTATAGCGCAGCGCAAATTAAATTGCGCTGTCTACTCGAACTGATGAAGCACGCTCGAGAGTTCAATCTCGATGAAAGCTCGGCTGGAAGATATACCTGGAAGCTTTCGCGGGGGAAGTGAGAAAAAATCCAAACCGACATGAGATTTCTACGAAAGTAGGCGGGGTGATTGAGTTCTTAGAGATAGACGTAATAATTACACTGCGGATATTTATGTATTTCTGGAAAATAAATGGAAATATGGAGAAACCTGTGAGAAAATTAAATAAAAACTGTCCTCTTCCTTTTAAATAGTTACTTTATAAATAATTATTATAACGCGTTTTGTAACAATACCTTTGACAGCTATTCTTTCGAAAGTAGGGGTTAACGACCTACAATACGGTACATTAGAGTACACCTACCCTAAACGATTAACAATCAACGACACATGAAAATACCAAGCAAGGTATGGGTTACCCTCTGTGAAGTTACAAGCTTCCTAGGCAGAGTACGTAAAAATGCTCAATCGACGAGAAAATTCTCTCGCGGTGGAAAAAAAAAAAAAGTGTTCACCCTTTGTACTCTCGTGCGAACACGCAGAAGGTGGAACTTGTTGGGGACAAATTAAAATAAAAGTTTTTTTAACTAAGAAAGAACCAGCGTTCGTTGGCCAACGATAATTGGATCGATATTAATAACGCAAGTAAAATATTATTAACATATCTACGGGTATGATACATACACAAATTTAGAATAAAAAACGCTAAATCTGTTATTGGCAAAAAAAAAAAATTTATTTTATCTCGAAACATTTACGCTGACTTGCTCTTGAAATAATATGATCCAATTCATTGAAAATAACAGAGAAAAGGAAAAAAAAAAACAGGTCGTAGAAAAGAAAGAAAGTATGTAAACTTACACTTTATGAGCTGTACAACGTCTGTGTGCGTGGACTGCATTACATTCACGCCGTTAACCTGGAAATACCGATCGTAGTTATAAATAGTGTACATGTATGATTGTAAATAAACGTTCCACAAATACAAATAATAGAAAGTTGCACGTATCACGAGTCATTAATAATTTAAATTTACTCAACGATTCATTCCTCGAGAAACTGCGAATTGTAAAATTTACCGTTGGGTGTACTATTTTTATAGAATGTGTGTTTTTTTTTTTTTTTTTTTACTGTTACTTTACAATAATATCAATTCGAAATAAGCTCACCTTGATTATTTTGTCGCCCGAATGAAGGCCAGCTCTCGCGGCTGCACCGCCTACAACGCATCATCATTGTACTTAAAATTTGTTATGATTATTAGTAACAATTTTCTAACGACGCTTAACAACAAGGACTGTTTGGTCGCTAACGTTTCTTAAAAAATTCGCACTTTATGTCAATATTCCACTAAACTTTCATATTTTTTGTTTAAATTACAGAATTATCAGCGTAGTTTAACTTGATGAAAAAAGAAATATTTTCTTGCGCGTAATTTTTCTTTCGAAACGTTCCAGAAAACAGTGAAACGGTTTCATCGACTGAGTAATGTATAAAGAGAATTTTCTCCAAAAGCCATTTTTGTTCCGTGTAATTAAGATCACGAATATTTTTCCTAGAAGAAAGCATACGCGTTTTCCTACGTGAAATTAGAAACTCTTTACGCAAATTGAACAAGCTGCGAGATATCATTTGTCGTTAAACTAGTTAATTAGACCATTTTGCAATAAGTGTTCAAACCGACGGTCATTCGGTGCTAATTTGTTCTGCACGCGGCAGGCAATTATTATCGTAAAACACGGTAATTATTTATCGTAGTTATGGCTACTGTTACAAATTACGTTAACAAATTACAACGATAACACCAAGATGACTAAAATAAAAATAAAACTGGCGCTGTTACAACAAAGAATCTAATAAAATAATTGATCTGCAACGATACCTGGGAACAGTAATGGCCATGTTTTGGTTGAAGGGAAACATTAACAAACGCTACCTTTGCCCCGAGCAAAATAACAATTCACTGTTCCAAACTACTGATACGATCACGTGACTGGTATAATCGACGAAAACGAGGTCCGATGGAAGGGACACTGTTTGCGTTTAATATAAATAACGTCGAGCGGTTAACTCGCGTAACGTGTCGAGGTTTACAAAGCGAAATGGTCACCTTACCGGCCGACACGGTGGTACGAGAGAGTAGATAGTCCTCTAATTGGTTTGTTTGAACGACAAAATCGATTTCTCGGTATCGCGATTATACAGTAACACACCTTCTTTCACAGATTGAACGTAAACGGGGTTATCGCCGGAGACTTTCATCCCGTATCCAGCCTCGTCCTTGTAGACGACGAGGGTGGCGACGGGTGCTGCTTCGACGGTTCCACCCCCGGCGGCGCCCCCGCCGCCACCGACGCTGCGTCGCAACGCCGCCGTTCCATTCATCCCTTCTTCGATCTCCGCCTGGCCTCCCCTCACCTCTGCCCCGGCTGCAGCACGATTTTATGACCTGTAAATGAAATAAAATCAACATCAACCATACAGCTATCGACGACCCGCAATGTGTCTATGCATAGAGTTTTCGAAACTGTGGCGAAAATAGTTCAACAACGGTTTATCTCAATCTTTTGTTCTGTGAATTCCTTCTCTGAATTTTGGATCGTTATGATTCTGTTTAAATCCTTTATACTCGTACCTATACATAGTATTTTCACCATTTTATGAATACGCAATATTTTCTTGCAAATATGATAAAATAATTGATATATACACTTGGATCGTTACATTGTAACCAGAATGATTTAATCTTAAAACCATTATCAAAATACAATATCGAAGTGATTTATAAAACAAAGAAAACTTTTATATCCAGAACACAAATATAACGATGAACATAAAAAGTACACACTTTATTCTACCGTGAAGATGATTATAAAACAAGAAATCGATAGTGTTCGATAACAACTGATTATTTAAGGCCTTCAAATACCACGTTTGATCGTTCATATACAAGGATGAAATCAACGTGTTAATATTTATTAATTTTTTGTGCTTAGTGTTATACAACCTGCACACCCAAGCTACAAATACGAGCTAAAAGAAATGGTTAGTTTTCTGTTAGAGAGAAAGACTGGGATAATGATTCAAGGCTGCAATCCACTTTCAATTGGAGCCCTCGGAGTATTCGAAACATTAGAGTTGCTCGAAATTCGAGCCGAGTGAAACCCGTTTCATTGAACCCAGCCGAGTACTCGACCATTAGAGTAATAATTCCAGTAGCTCGATTATTAGGGTAACGCAAAAAGAACCGGGTATCGAAGATATTTAAATCGAGTGCAATTATAATTACTGTAGCCAATTATTCGAGTTGCTCGATTATTTTCGAAATGTTCGAGTACTCGACTCGAACTCTACTTTCGACATTCTTCATCATAGTTACCGTTATAATTAAACTGCGAATTTGTATGCGGTTATAAGAAATTCGAATTTAAATTACAAAACGATTACACGTAAATAATTTTAGCCTAACGTTGGAAAGGTGCATCTTTTAAACAAGTATGAACAATTAATGAGGAAGAATGAAATTGTTTTTCCAATTATACATATAATGAAAAATGTTTCATTTAATCGATACAGACTCCAGGTCTCATTTCGTGGAAATAGGGGTGCAGGATTTTGCGGAGAAACAGATAAGAGGAAGAATATACATATGTACATATAGCCGACGACAGGCATTGATTTTGTAGGGCTTTTGAAGACCATTGGTTGCATCATTGCCTCCTCAACCATGAGAAACCTAGTGGCTGTTTCTTTGGAAGAGTCACGTTTTCACAAGTTCTTGAGCAAGTACTATATCAAGGAGGTATGTTCAATAGAAATTAATATATAGTGTCAGAATGGCCTTGGATAATGTAAAATATTAACACTTTAACTTTGGGCTTACTTGGAAAGTATGGTCTACATATTATTAAAATTTTTCTGGAAAATTAATTTCTTTAAAAATATCGAATGCTGCAATACTAAATATCGAAGGGTGATCTGTCAGTATTAGAAAATTTGTTGGAATGAAGAATAATTGTAACCTAAATTAAAAGCGATGCCTCGAGTTAGATCAGTTTCAAATACTGTAACTTTGAAAGTAAACTAGTATCTAAAGTCTACTAGAAGGAGTTGTCAATGTTCACCTCTCGCTAGGAGTTTGCAGAATATTAAGTTTGCGTGCGATAACAAGAGGCGAAAGCCACTCCTCAGTTTCCCAATATACAGTGTTTGTAAGTACATATCAAGATACTAATCAGCCATAAATTACTCGAAGTTGAAGGAACAGTGCGACAAACATTGAAACTAAATACAAAAATGATAAACTATTACATTGAATCCATTACTCCGAACAATGAAAAAATCGTACAAACAGATATTTTCATTGTTCAGCTATTTAATATTTTTAAGTTATTTTTAAGTCATACGTTTGGTAAAAATATTGCTTCGGATATCGCTTGGACTCAATTTTCCGAGTACAGTTTAATAAAAAAGGGATACTAATTAAAATAATTATTATACCTTGGAAGTATAATTACTTCTTAATTAATTCAGGATGTTTGATCAATTACCGCGTACGAAGCTAATAAATAATAACGTCCCCTCATCAGCGGAATTGTCTCTGTCGTTTGCTGTTTACTTTCATAAGCCCCGTAATTGCATAGGACTTACATTGGTACTTAATTATTATTTACTGTCGCAACAGCTAATATTTCAAAAACCTATGTATGATGTTACACATTACTTTAAAGCCGTTTGGTTAAAGCGGAATGTATCAATATCTTATTTATTTAATTAATACAAGTTTGAATAATCTATTAATTAAAGTTAGATTTTTTATTTAATTAGAAAATCATTTGCTAATTAAGGTTGGTACTAAGTAAGGTGAAACTCTTTGAACAAACTGCTCACATTCCATAATATCCTAAATACACTCAGTAAAAAGATCTCTGCACACCTCATGCTCGCTACTCTAACGGGACACGTAATTTTCATTCAGTTCTGCCTAAGACAAAGCTTTGGAATTCGGTAAATTGTGCAAATTCAGCATTGTCAGGCTCAATGGACGCCTAAAAGGTTGAAAAAAAAAAAAAAAAAAAAAACGCAAATGGATTGTGAGAGTTGTGTAAAACCGAAAAATACAATGTAAACAACATACCATGATAGTACGAAGTTGAACACTTAGAATTTATTGATTGCATAACGGACCAAAATGATTATTTAAACATACCAAAACACAAAAGATGATTATTATATATCAAAAGATAAATAATAATCACTTCTAAGCGATTGGATTACATCATTTACTATTTTCACAAATATTAATGGGTTACATGTTAAGAGCATGTTTCAATATCAATACTATATATAGAATATATTTTATGCTTTCTCAGTTATTTCAGTAAAACATTGAAAGACTTGAAGAGGTTCCATATTGATGACTAAAACTCATTGGAACATCAATGATGTGTGATTAGCCGCAGTTAAGAGTTTACATTCAATATATCATATTTCTTCAAGTACAAGTTTATATGTCGAAGCGTTTATCGTATTCGCGTCGTTACAATTAGTAGATAAGATCTCAACTATCTTCAATTTTTTATCAAATTTTTATCGATATAGGTTTATACAACTTTGTACAGACATCAAAAAGTATTCGATAGGGTACTAATAGCTCTTGGAATAAAGCAAGACGAATCCCTAATTAGATGCATTCTTCACGCTTCAGCGACCGAAATCTGGTCAGTGAAATTATTTTCAATTTTAATTAATGAAATATTTTGCTTGACGATTTTTCCTCCATTTTTGTATATGTATTTATATACCAATACCGCATGCTTAGCAACTATTACATAAATAAGTAAACAATTATTAACTCTTCTTCCACTAGTACACTAATTCTATTACTAAATTACTTTGTAAATTCCTAAAGAGAAAATTGATTTGTTACCATATAAAAATTATGCACATTTTCCATTAACAAATTTGTGATTGCAATTGTTGATTATTATTGCTCACTAGTGTGGTAAAAAGTGCGTAGTATTAAATATTTGAAGTATACTCGACGAGAAGATTTCTTTATGTGTAAACGTAAAATGGTGAAACGTTACTTAAAATTATACGATAATTAATTCTGTATAAATAGTACACTGTAACATCAATACGCTGAAAGGAGTTAACGCACTCTATGTAAAACACACGGATGCCTAGTTTCACGAAGGACGATTAAATATACACGCAACATAATTTATCTTTAGTTTAATCATAATTACTGACAATTTTAAAAACTCTATTGCAATTTTGCTACGAAAAAATATTTTAACGTAGAAAAATAGTATCGTAACATACGAAAAATAAAAATTGCCAAATGTAATCAATAGAAATCGTCAATAATTTTAATTGTTTTCAAATACCCTCTAAGAGACCTCGCGGTGATTATAACTCGGTAGAAAAAGAAGAATTTCAATGTTAAGATATGTAGAAAGGTACTGGCAGGTTCGTGTAAGTTTGGTTAGTATTTTAGTCATAACTTCAATACCACATTCGTAATTTACATGGTTCGTGTCAAACGTGAGCCGAATGCTTTCACGGCGAATTTTAAACGAATCCTACACATTAATGATATTCCGACCAATTTTTCAATTTTTTATGGATTCGTAAGATATCAAGATTATCGACATATTGTCCCATTCTTTCGCAATAAACAGATGCTATAAATACGTTTGCTTCTTATCTTATGAAAAACGAAAATTGTACGTAAACAAAAACGATTATTGGTGAGCAAATTTATTAGCATAATTTACTTGTATCGAGTTCACGGTATCACACTCAGCATGCTATTAACAAAGAAAAATTCCAATTTTTAACAACGTATAAACTATTTTCTTACCCAAATTTTGAAAGATTATCGAATGTGATGTAAATCAATGCTTCTGCAATAATGTTATAATTTTCACGGATATCTATCTTGGAAATTACTTTAAAAGAAAACAATGATTTTAAAACAAATTAGATTAAGATGGACCTATTAACCTGGAGTATCTTCCATGTAATAGCGAGTTATGATTAAATTTCATTACCAATGTTACTGCCATGTTAGTTTGCACGATCTTGTCCCAGAAACACACGACGTTTCGCGTTAAATATCGTAAACAATCGAATTGTTTAAACGGCAAGGATTATTTGAATTCGATTATAGAAATCGGGGTTCGTCGTGTCTTACAAACGGCTATTACAGAACGTGCGAAGAGAAACTGTGGAATTTTAAGAAAATGTAAAACAGTATATGACAGCAAGCAAAATTCGAAGAATATGTCAGAGAGAAACTAAGAAACCGTATATGACATCATGTTAATCGATATAACAGGTTAATAGGTCAGTTGGTTCTCATGTATCGTGAACACGAACAAAAAAAAAGAAAAAGAAAAAAAAGGACAATCGAAAAAAAGAGAAAATACACGGATCTAAGGTTTCAAGAGTGACTCGCGGATAGGCGTACCGAAGAAGACTGAGTAAATACATACCTTTCATTTAATTTATTTCGTAGTGAAACGAATCTTGTGTGAAACACCAGAGACGGAGTAGAAGCGCAACAAAGCGAGATATCACTTCACCTTGGCACTATATTCCACGAGAATTATATCACAATTGTCATAACAAAAGAACACATATGAACATGGCTGGTGACGGGTAATTATTCTGCCTCTAGCACTTTCACGGCACATTTTGATATCTCTTGATAATACATGATAAGGTAACGATTCGATAAAAAAGGAAGACCCCTTCTGTGTTACTTATGGAAACGTGCGTGTACCATACGCGGATACGAAGGCACTAATTTTTTTTATAAAAATGCACATTCGATCAAACGAAAATACACTACTAACAAGTGTCAGCCATCTTGTATTGGAGCGAAGCACAACCCAACGTCCCATGGTGCATCACGACAGCTGCAGGAGTAGTACACCATACACCCGGTAACACGAACTCGTGCCGACTAAGGGGAGAGTTACTAGCTTTGAGCTCTGAATACCCCTTCCCTTGTACTGGTGCAGCAGGCGCTTGACGCATGTGCAAAATTAATTTCTATACATTTAGCGTATGCTGTTATACACGACAGATCGCATATCTGGCTATAAAATAAAAATACTCTGTTCAAATCGTCGATATAACATTTGAAACAGGGATTCAACTATTAACTAATTTATCAAATATATCTTCTTATGTTTACAAAATTAATTTGACGTATTGTAACCTATGCATGACAGGTCTCATGATCTGTTATGAAGTAACAGCGATCTGTCGATACCTTTGAGGCCTGTAAAGTTTAATATCCACTTAGACGCCATGTAAATCATCCGTAAATATATTAGTAGGAACCATGGACCCCAAGAATATCTAGGAATATCACACATGATATAACCTATTTTTGTAGCGCCTTTCAGAGTGTTAAAATGAGGATTTTTCAGAATTAATTCTGTTACGTGCCACTATGCTGGACAGTAATAATGAGTACTGGAAGTAATAACGAATATTCAGTTACTGGATAATATGCGAATAGTTGCATACAAATAAATGCGGTTGCAAACGAGACTGAAATGTATGCCAGTGTGCTATGAAGTAGTCAGAGTTAGTGACTTTCTCCTTACATGGCACAAATCCATATCCCAAAGTGTATCAAGTTTACACTAGCGAAATTTTAAAGTAGAAACAAAGCCCACGTGATTGGCAAATTTTCTCATTGGTTAAAACTTTATAAATCATTTTCAGCCAACTGTGACAATTCTTTTCGAATATTTTTCTTTTAATAGAGAATTTCACAAATTTAATTTATGAAATTAATTTTATATTTGTTTTCTGAATATTGTAAAAATACTAAAATACTGTAAAATTACAATCTTCATATAAAAGGAAAATAAAATATTATAAAATATCCCAAGACACTTTAGTTTAAATTTATTTATTTTAAATACGTATATTACTGAAATATTGTTATAAAATAGCAGTAATACTTTTTTAAACTTTTCACTCTGTCATATACAAACATGGAATTATTTTTGGTATGATATCAGTACATGTCTTACACATATTTTTACTATTTTTTCAAAAATTTGTGCTGGTGTAATAATTACACGAGATCAATAAAAGGAACTGTGTATAGTTACAGTGAATGTTACAGTACTTATTAAAAATATACTTGATGTAATACATTTTGAACTACTTAGAAAAGGATAAAAAAAATCATAAGGCAAGGTGAGATCCAAATTAGGACCTCCTACAAAGTAATATTTGGATGGCTTCGACACGTCATGGAATGTAACGAAAGTAACAATATCTACCTTAAGTGTGTTTGTACAGTTTTCAGTCAAACATTTTGACCATGATATGTTAGATTCGTTAGAAAAATTAATACCTACTCCTAATATATTATAATTAGTCAAAGTCTCAGGTTTAGTTAAGGCAGAATACAAAATATTGAACTGTACTGAAGTTGTCAACCCTAAACACTGTAAATGGTCATTGATTAAGTTCCCTGTCACAATATTCTGAGGTACTCTACCAAGTAAAATTTGTACCCAATCAGCTGTATCATTTCTGGTAAAGTTACCTGACTTTGAAACATAAATACTGTATTGATCAGTTTCAGTGACATTAAACAAAGAATCTTTCATCAAGAAATGCATAGTACGATTTTGTAATTCTATACAAGATGAAGTATTAAAGTCATCAATAGGTAAGGATACGGAGCATCGTAATTTAATGTCTTCTCCAAAGGTAATGGTATACCTGTTTATTTCGTTGCATTCACCACCTTTTCTGGCTATAGGCAATGTCAAAAAACTATCAGTTTTATTAAAAGTAATAGTTTTCACGTTATTAGTCTTATTTATTTTTAAAGTACCAATGACTATTGGTTTCCCGAAAATATAGCCAGGATTACCGCTAAGAGAAAAACTCTTTTCCTTATCCAGTTCAACCCATTCATAAATTACTTCAAATTGTTGATAAAAACTTCGAGAAACGTTACCTATATTAAAATATACATTAACACTATTAATTCCTATTGAACCATTGTGAACAATCAAATATTTCACTCCAGTTACAATATTGTAACATGTTCCATTGAAGCAAGATCCTGATGCAGTTGTAGTATTACATATTTGCCAAGAATGCTTACAATAGTAATTAGTTAATGGTAAACATATATTCTTGGGACAAACCTGTAAATAGACAATTTTAATTTATGATTTTTTAGAACATAACAAGCATGCATTAATTGATAATATTACATTTTTTAAATATCACTATTTTATTAGTACCTGATCTAACATCTCAATGTAGGTCTCATTTAATAAATGAGGAGAAGTAATAACGGTAAAATTGTTAAATGCCATTGGAAAGAGAAATTCATTTGTATTAATTAGTTCAGTTTGCAAGCATTGCTCTTTCCATTTACGAAGATATTTTAAAGTTTTCTTGAATGTACACAACTCAGTGAACCCAGACTGTGGCAGTTCTAAATTGCATCATAATAAAATATTTCTTCAAAGGAATTTTAACATTGATAATGATAATGTTATATATACAATAATACATACCAAAAGGTTGAATGTAATTGTTGAGTATTCTCCATATAATGTCACCATCTTGATAAAGACTTGAAGTAGTATATTCAGGTACATGTAATTGGCCTTCCCAGTTCCATTTTAATCTATTTGAGGCCATTGCTTCGCGTAAATCCTTCTCAGTTTTTATATCCTATACGAAATAAAACATTTATAATGTCAATATAACCTAAAAAAATTTAATTTATAAAATATATTAAACTCTTACCAAATCACTGTTATCGTTGTACGTAGGTGGAAGATTGTCATATAAAATACAAAACAGATTGTTTGCCAATTTTTCAAGTATGAATGGAGTGTTATTTCGTTCTATAAAATTTCTATTGTAGCAGTAACGTTTATCATATAATTCTGCCTGATGATTTTCACAGTGTGAAAAAACTGTTAAATGGAAGTCATTGCAATCTTTGTCGCAACAGCAATTAATGTCGCAAGAAGATGTCTGTAATGTAAATAAACCAAAATGAAATTAATAATAATATACAATCATTTTTAACCCTTAAGCCAAAAATTTTGTAACAAGGTGTTAAAGTGAAAATAAATTATCATACAACACAAACTTACTGTTAAATCACATTCACAAACATCAGACTGTATTTTATGTACAGTGTGATTTCTTGTTCCACTATTATACTCAATTTTAAGAGGTGTTTGCATAGTTGGTATTGTTTGAACCTTTGTAATTTGTGTTGAATATGTAGAGTCACTAGTGCTAACACTAGTTGAGTTATGAATACTTTCAACTGTAGTGCTCAATGATTCTTCTGATGCATTTTTTTCTATTAATTCATCACATTCTGTTTCATTCATACATGTAAATATGTCTTCAATTTTCTTTGAAAATATTAATTCATAGCACATCAAATAAAAAAACATTACTACAGATATCCTTGTAAACATGTTGCCAGTTTTGAAGAAATTTTACACATGTAAGTACATCTAATCATAAGTATTTCTACTCAGTATTGTTTGGCAATAAAATATGTTATCATAATAAATATTTACAAATGGCATCCATATTTTTCAAAGTTTCGAGCAAGTATATGCAACTCGATCTTAACTGTACCCATACTTTGTGTAAGTAACTCAAACCTATCCAAAGAGTTAACTAAAACACTTGGTGATTTTAACTGTAGAGTTATTCCCAAAAATTGATCTCTAAGTCTATCTTTCCAGTTACCTAAATAAATAGTCATATAAAAATATAATGTTCATAAAATACACAAACAGCATTTAATAGTTTTTGAGAAAATATTTAACTTACCAATTGGTTTCCATGTGTGACATTCTATAGAATGAAATCCAGGGGATAAAGGAATGTTACAAACACCATAAGATGTAAATAATATTCTTTCGTGAGCGTCTCTGCAAAATATTTGTAATAGAAGTTTTGGTGAATTTTGAAGAGTTTGTGTTGTATAATGCAAATCTATTGGATGATCCCAAATTGGTTCATTAGTATATAAATCACAACTTTCTTGTGTTTGTCCTTCTTCATAACCATTTAAAACTTTCCAACCATTACCTGTAACAGAAACAAAAACATCACTATTTATAAAGTAACGAATAAATAATTGATTATACATCCAATAATATATAATTTCATTACCAGCATGAAAACTCCACTTGCATAGAAGTCGTTGTTGTTTAAAATCTTTTGCAGACGAAATTTTACCAATTATATGCAATTCCGCCATTCCATAAGAACATATTTTATTTCCTGATTAAATATGTGATTGAATAAGTACAATATTTTAAACTTATAGAAATTTTATGATTGTACTTTCTAATACAATTTACCGCTATTGTCCCAGTGGAATACGTATTACTTTATTATTCATTTTTATAGCAAATTGTTTTCACTGAATTAAATATTAACTGAACTAAAAATATTTTAAAGAAATCACTAAAACTTAACCAAAGTTTTAGTTCAAATATCCGTAATTCTACAAAAATACGTGACAACGCTTTGACTCATAAGTGCATTAGTATACACTATACACACTCATAACACGCAAATCAACACGCTATAATGCGGCATTCACATTCTTTGATACGCCCTCTTTTGAAATTTTAATTCAATCATGCGTTCTAACACTGCTACTGATATAACATTTTTATTATTATTATAATGTTGAAATCAGTTTGAACTTTTGTCTCGAAAATTTTATTTACTTTTTGGTCAACTTTTTAAAAACTGAAAACATTATATTACTTTGTCTCCTAGCTTTGTAATTTTTTTAAAAATGTATGTTTACAGTTACTAAAGTCTCTAAAGACCATTTTATGAATATAAAGAAAGATATTTTAAAAATTGTTTAAAAACTGATCTGATAGTTGATATTTTTCGTGAAACTATCGATTTTATAAGTCGAATCGAATCGAATAGCATATACATGTATAAATATATTATAGGTTATGTTTCTTAATTGACGTTTGACAGCTACTGTTACTTTACTCCAGCAAAACTTTATTTTCTTACTTTGTCACTTACTATCTGTAGTTCAAATGGAAGCTAAACCGAAAGGTGAACATCTGCTCGCATTGAAAGGTGACAAAAACAATTTCTTTGTAATATTAAATGTATTTAGAAAAATGTGTGTTTAATTTGTTTTAATTGAAATATTTAAAACATAGACAATACTGCTAACTATGCATTCAATGCAATATTTTCAGTGATGAGATTAACACGACCCACTCTTGCAAATCCAGTAGTTGTTACTTGCGATTCAACAGATCTTCCTGGTAATACATTAAATAATGAACTTAAAAACGATTGCACTGCTTTACAAGGAATGGAAACTCTCGCAGTAGGGCAGTTTATGGTGTTACCTCAAAGTTTTGGGTATGTATATGCTTGTCTAAGAATTGCTGTTATTAAAATTAAATATCAGATTCATTGATGTTTTGAAACATACAATGACCAATATTGGTATAACTCAGAAAAATTATACTATTGTTACTTTTTTATTCAGTAATGGCTTAACAAAGTTTTATATAAAATAATTTATTATTAAAACTGCATTTGTTTTTAGGAATATTTATTTAGGTGAAATATTTTCAAGCTATCTTTGCGTACATAATGGTAGTAATCAGTTGGTGAAAAATGTTACTGTTAAAGTAAGTAGTATGTTCCCATGTTTCAAATATAAAATAAATCTTGAAATCTTAACTAATTTAATAATTAGTAATTATAAAATTATAATAATATTATATAATAAATATATATGTATAATATTTATGAATTGCTCTTAATAATATTTCATACTATAGGCAGATTTACAAACAAGTACTCAAATTATTTCTCTTTCTGGTAATAGTGGAGGGATGAAAGATTTGGCACCTGACAGTACAGTTGATGAAGTAATACATCATGAAGTAAAAGAAATAGGCACTCACATGTAAGGATATACGATTAAAAAAAATTCCACTGTTTAATTATGATGTAAATAAATGATTAATGCAAATACATTCCAGACTAGTATGTGAAGTAACTTATACATCTTCAAATATAGGTGCCACTTCAGAATCGTTTAGAAAATATTATAGACTTCAAGTAGTAAAACCATTAGACGTAAAAACAAAATTCTATAATGCAGAGGTAACATTTTTAAAATAATAAATTTTACCAATTTGCAAGATATATTTATTTAATTATTTGAAATAAAGATAATTTGATAAAGTTTAATGAAAGCATTTTCTTCAAGTCGGATGAAGTGTACCTTGAAGCACAAATACAGAACCTTACAGCAGGTCCAATATGTTTAGAAAAAGTTTCCCTTGAATCATCTCATTTATTTAGTGGTGAGTTTGCTATATATTATTATTTTAACTAATGTAATTGTAAATTTCCGTAATGAATTTCTTCAGTATCAACGCTGAACACAAATAAAAAGGGAGAATCCATTTATGGATCAGTAAATGTATTAGATACTGATTGTAGCAGACAATATTTATATTGTTTAAAACCACAATTAACATTATTAAAAGATTTAAAAATGATGCATAATGCAACAAATATTGGAAAATTAGATATTGTTTGGAGAAGTAATTTAGGAGAAAGAGGAAGACTACAAACAAGTCAGTTACAAAGGATGGTTTGTTGTCATTTATTAATTGTTTTGTAATTAATAAATTCTTTAACAACTCATTTACATTTTAATTTTTTAGGCACCTGAATATGGTGATCTAAGAGTTACTATGAAAGATATTCCTCTGAAGGTTTATCTTGAACAACCAGTTCATTTTAATTGTCATATAATAAATACATCGTAAGTACTTAACATGTATGAAAGAATAGAAATAAAATAAAAAATATAATTTTGTTGAAATATAATTCATTTTTAAAATTTGTCATAAATTTTACGAATGATGAAGCTGTTTTTGTAGAGAAAGGAGTATGGATTTGATGTTAAGTTTAGATTCAAGTAGCTCTATTGCATGGTGTGGAATATCTAATACTAAAATAGGAACATTAAAATCTGGAGCATCAATAGATATTCCTTTATGTTTGATTGCATTACACAGTGGTATTATTGTAAGTATTAATACATAAAAATTACTAAAATAATAATATAGTATTAATAATTACAATGTTGTAGACCATCTCTGGATTAAAATTGGAGGATACATTTTTAAAGAGGACATATGACTACGATGATTTAGCACAAATATTTGTCAATCAAATAGATTAGTTAAGGATTTAATAAATTATTAAAAATATGCTTGTTAACTTATTGTATTCCTTTTAAAAATATACCAAACATATTGATGATTACACTTATGCATTTTAATATAAAAAGACATAACATTTACTGAATTATGTTTTTATATAGTTTTTTTATTTGAAATACGAATCTATCGAGGACATTTTTTCAGTTTCACTTACTGCTCCTACAGCACATGCAAGTAGTGTTTGGACATTTTGAGGTTCATTTCCACCAAAAATGTAACCATTAGCCTTGTCCACTGCATTTTTAACTTGTAGTAACAATGCTTGATTGGAAATATCTAATGGTATAAAACTGACAAGACTATAATCTTCTACCAGAGATACAAAAGCTGCATTTAGTTTCTTATACCTAAAACAAAAACATTTTTAATAAAATTTCAAACTTCTACACTTTGAAGATTTTTTGTATAACTTAGAGTTCTTATATACAGCAACTTTACATAATCTATTTAATGAGAAAACTTACTTCGATGTAAAAGGATCTTCATCGAGTTTATCCAGTAAATATTTTAAATCAAGTACTTCTGTATAAAAATCTATGTTAAAATCTAGATGGTCGCTGAATTTTTTCATTTCATCAAACTTTGTCATAATATTAACATGTGGTAAACCTAGCTTTAACATGGTTGTTGTGCAAAGAATTAAGGAGGATAAATATTTACCTATAACACAAGACATTAGCATGAAACAATCCCAAATTTTACATAAATTTATTTATAAACGCAAATTGAATTACCAGCATCACTGCAATGGTGAGAATCTACAAGATGTACACTGCATAGTCTTACTAAATTTTGTTCTAATTTTTCAGTGATTGAACTAATGGATGTATGATGTGTATATAATTCAACCTGTTAATACATATTGAATTGCATCTCAATTATGGATAAAGTTTATAGTATGTATATATACACATATTATTTATTTATATACCTGTCCTGGACAGTCAAAAATGAGATAGTAATCCTTCAAATTTAAAACTTTTGTAATTAACCATTTTACATTAGCTTCTAAGAACTCCATGCAGTAAACTAAAGCTCCATTTGGTCCAAGACCATAATGTAACATTACTTCTTCGTGTTTTATTAACTCAGATATATCTACTGTTGGTGTGTACTCCATGTTTTCATTTGCAGGATCTAAAAACATAAAAATAGCGAAATAACTGTAGGAACTAAAAAATTTCAAGTTCCATAACTATCAATTAGTTGAACACTGTTAGTTTGTACCAATATTAATGATAGCAACTTTCCTGCCAAGCTTTTCTAAAAACTTGGACATAGCATGACAATATGTTGTTTTCCCACTTCCAGGTGGGCCAATAACTAATTGACCAAATATTAAACTCATGATTGTACTCTTGTTTTATAACATCACCATGGTTTAATTTTATTTATAGCTGCAACAATAGCTTTCAAAGTATCTAGTTCATAGTCTTTTAAACATATTGAAACCAATAATGATTTATCTGCATCTATTTGTTCTGCTATATATCGAACAGCTGCCACAACATCAATATCATCCTTTCCGAATAATACCCTAAAATAAATATTTATTATTTACTTATTACATTACAACATAATGTTAATGTAAGATATAGTTTCATAATGATTATGAAATTACTTACTTTGTAGAAAATATACTGTTATTAAACTGAGGTAGCACAGATCCTCGAGTTACTGTTATCAATGAACCAAACTTTTTAAAATGCGTTATAATCAATAATATACGATTGCTAAAAAAAGATGTAAACACATAAATATTTTATCATTATGAATGCATAAGTTTTTTTTAAATTATACAAAGTAATTTACATATTAAATAAGTTATTACTATGAAGCATTAATACTTTTATAATTAGAAGTAAACGGTATTTATTATTTTATTACCTATAAATCTTTAAAGCAATATCAGTATGATGACCATGAGTCACAATGGCACAAGCATAATTTTTCATATTTTCTATACTTATGTATAACTTACATTATAAATAAATAAATGAAACGATTTGTGCTTATTTCATGCAAAACGGTTTTTCTAACTGGACAAAATATAGGGTATAGGGAATTTATATGAATTGATTCAAGTCTCTAGATATATGTTCAGTTCTGTAAAGCAGTGATGGGCAAAACCCTAGGCTTCGAATAAATTTGAAGTTTGCTGATATGTTTGTCTCGTTTCCTCTTTTGAAAAATTTCCTAAGAAGGAAACGAGACAAACATATCGGCAAACTTCAGATTTATTCGAACCCTAGGGGTTTGCCCATCTCTGCTGTAAAGTCGGTTGTTGTTAATAACCATCTGGTGGTGAATGTGTAAATTTTGATATGGCTAGTCTGTGTTCGTTCTATAATAATTTTTATTCAATGGATAATCCATATTATAATTTCATGAAACTGTCGCGTTTTTCTGGTCTCCGTTGTGTATTTAAGAGTGAATTATATGGTATTACACCGTTCAAAGGACGCGGATATATATTTTCAGAGAACATTTCTTCTAACGGTTTATGTGCTGTACAATTTCAAATTATTTTGTTATCATTAATTGTTTGAGGAATTAATACGAGGATAGTGTATGTATGAATTTTTTAAACGGACTGGTTGATGTTAAGAACAATGTCATTATTCAATAAACCGAAGAGGAATATTCGTCGTCGGCCTTTCAACGACGATGATGAAGATAATGAAAATAGGATGGAAGTGGAGGATACCCAGCCTATAAAATCCAAAGCAAAGAAGAAGGATAAACCGAAGCAGACGCTCCTTAGTTTTGGAGAGGAGCTGGAAGAAGGTGATTTGTAGATATATGCGTGCACACATACAACGCATATATTTCCTGCAGAATGTTGTACAATTCTATCGTTTAATTATGATAATCGTATAACTCTGATAATAATTTTCAGCAATCCTAACTCCTTGTGATATTCTTGAAAACATTTTTATACAAAACTAAAATTCAAATGTTTATAATATTCATGCGAAAATCGTTCAAAAAGTATGAGGAGAATGTTACAATATATCATGTTCTAATTTGTCAAGTTTTTTCCAATTCACCTGATTAATGGTAAAATAAGAGAGAGGTACTTTCTTCTAGGATAACAATATAGCATTTCTTGAATCTTAAATATGGTACATGTTTATACTATCATGCAACAAAATTGGAATTTTTGAATATGTCTTACTTTTAGACTATGCAAGTCCATCAAGAGTGAAATTTGAGAAACACTGGCCCAATACCTTTACATGCACTGATAAGATAATATTAAAACATTAACATAGTTTTTGTTCAAACATAGTTTTGCAAGGCTTTTATAACCAAGCTTTTATAATCTCTTTTTTTTTATTAGGATTAGAAATAAAAATTCAACTTTATATTTTACACAACTAATTTTAAACAATAATAATAATTTTCAATGTTTTTATTACATATGTGCTTAATAATTTGTTTGCATTGTTTATTTTTACGAAATGTAATAGTTCATTATCTTGTAGCGGACGATGGTGAAGTCTTTAAAGTGAAGAAATCATCAAGGAGCAAAAAATTGATGAAACAACTAGATCACGAGAGGAGAAAAAAGAAAGGTGAAGAGAAAATGCAACTGGACTCTGAGCAAGCGAACATGTCCATTAAACAGGAAAAAGATTTAGAAATAAAGACAGATGATCTAGTAGTAAGCTATCTCTATGATGTTTTATTATTATTAGAATTTCTTCAATTTAAATAATTTAGAACTATCAAATCAGGATTTCATTTTTTTCACTACATTTACTCCATACAATATTTGGTATGCATTGAAGAATGTGACAAAGATATATACCATTACATGCATTTTATGCATTTGTTTTTGTAAGCTATGTTGTTTCTTATATATAAAAGATTTTTGATCTAGTGAATATGAAATGTAATTGCATCAATATAATGGATATAGAACAATACAATAGACACTTTAATTGTATTAAATGTACAGAATTATAATAATATGAACATGCATCGTAAGTTAAATTATTTTTATAGAAATCTCATTTTATTTTGCAGCATTATTCAATAATTTGTTATTTTTATAAGATGCAAACTTGACAAATTTATAATGTTACAATATATACAGTGGTGTGCAAAAGTTTACAGTCACTTATTTTTTTTGTTTTTCTGTACAAAGAGAAGTATATCCTAAGAATGAAATAAATGTTTTTGTTACATTCTGCCTTATAGTCCAAAAATTTATCTTTGGTTTTTCTCCCCAAAGCAAGCTAGAAAAGCAACTGTTTAAAAACTTTCTCATACCACTGTATCTTTTTTTGCAGTATAATGTAACTTAACTTCACTATGAATTATTAATTGTTTTAACTGTTCACTGAAGATTTTATTAAGCAACAAATAATTTTTATTATTAGGTTAAGATAAAGAATACAGGACCTTTAATACTAAATGGACGAGCTGCACTCGCAGCTGGAAAGGATGATTATACATCTGATGAAGAGGATGATGAGACACGTAGTCATAAATTTAGAAGAAACACAGATAAAGCTGACACAATGAAGATTCTCCTTGAGAGTATGTAACATTTTCATTGTTATATACGATAATCGTATAATAAATGCTATATTATTTATTGATACATTTGTAGGTGGTTGTATTCCTGATGCTGCAATGATCCATGCAGCCAGGAAATGCAGACAAAAAGCAAGAGAATTAGGAACTGATTATATTCCTATAGAAGAACAAAGGTAATACTCATTAAAAATAGTATTATGATAGTGGTAAAGGTTGTCTGATTAAATTAGTTATTACTAACTTCCGTATTTATTTTGGATGACATGTACTAGAAATATTTATATTTACAGTGATGATAAAGGCAAATCAAGACTTATTAGAGAAGAAGACCATGATAGAAGCGATGATGATGATTCTCAAGATCGAATTGATATGACTGTTAATACCGAAGCGCGCGACAAGGAAAAACGGAGAGAAGCTTTTCTTGCTTCACAAGTTTCATTAAAGCGTTGGTTTTCCTCTTTTTATTATCATAGTTTACAAACCTCAATTCTATGAATGAATAAGTAATACTTTTTCTTCAGTTTCAGATGATGAAAGTGAACATGAAAATGAAGAAGAAGAATGGGAAGCTCAACAGATTAGGAAAGGTGTAACAGGTGCACAGGTAGTATTTTTGTTTCCCTTTTATATACTGAATTATTGATTGTCTATTCACATATAACAATTAATTTGCATTGACTTTCATATCACTGAGCATGGCATCCATCATAGTCATGCATAGCATTGTATATGTAATATGCTAAAATATTTAGATTGCAGCAGCACAACAAGATTCTATGATGCAGCAACAGTATTCGATTGGTATGAATGTGAATCAAGTGATTGGAACTGGAGTACCTTTAGAAATGGTAATGATGCCGGCTCCTCCGCCTCCGCCAGCAATTCAACCGCCAGATCCAACAAAAATAGTACCGGTTACTCCCCAGGAAGTTGTCAATAAGATGCGTGCAAGGTGGTAAATTATTGAAAATTGAATACATACACATAATGCTATACCTTTTGTAATAATAAATTTAATTAATTGATCGTTAAAAAACAAACAGATGCGAAACCTCATAATTTATACTAAATAGTTTTAATCATTTTGTTTCTCGAAACTCATGTCTACAATAACACAAAAATAGAATCGAAAATATAATTTGCAGATTGGACAGTTTAAAAGAAGTACACCGACGTCATCAGTTAGATCAGGATCGTTTAGAACAAGAATTGGAACAAACTATGAAAGAACTGGATGAAGGTGAAATTCGTGCACCGCAGCTTGCACAGCGCTTCAGATATTACCAAGAGTTGCGTGGGTATGTCACTGACTTGGTAGAGTGTCTTGATGAGAAGGTGGGTTTATACGCTGTCACGTATGTTTATGTGCACTGGGGTTTTCCATGCAATTTTTGGCTGTATAAATTATTCAGCCATATTAGAATCAATGCATTTTTCTTATTGAAGTTAAGAAGAAGATATATTATAGAAGAAATATTTAAAAACGTGTCTTTTTTTTATCTATTTCAAAAAATATTTGTAGTATTTTTAATACGTTCTTCTAATTTGTAATGAAAATTATAAATTTATTAAACAGAATAATATAATATAACAAAGTTTCATTTTGATGCATTTTTGTATAAATATTAATAATTACGTTCTCTAGGTATTGGATACGAATTCGACAATAGTGTTTAAATTTTCAGCATTCATTTAATTTGAAAAATAACATTCTGTACATTTGTCATCCAAAAAACTTTTAACGTAATCTACCTTTTCTTTCTGTTATGTACTGCGCATAGGAAAGAAATGTAGTATCCTACTTTACCTGGAGTTTAAGTATTATCAAGATTAATAAGTTAAAATTTCGCAATGGATTAAAGCATACATTTCTTATTCATAACTAATTAAAATGTAACATTGAAACTTGTTTAAAAAGTTTTAGTCAATTCATCTTCAAATATTATAAGCAATTTTAACATTTTATTATGAAAGAATATTAAAAAAGAAGAAAAATGCATATTAGACATCAAAATATTCTAAACAATTGTAAAACACATAGTGTGTATTTATATTGCCGGGGGTCTGTATCTTCTCTGTATACAAACATTATTTGTAATGTAGTAAAAATTACGTTTAATTACTTATACAAATTGACAAAATAAATTAATATGTGTGGTAAGTAAATTGCCATTGATTTGCAAATTCATTCTAAACGAAAGATATCCAATGGCCGTGGAATCTTATTTAAATTCCAGCAAATGTTAAACGTGAATGATATTTCATTGTTTATAAATTTTTTGTCTAACATAAATTACACGTTTGATTCCTCGTAATTCAAAAATCAGTTAAGCCATATATAAACATTTTCTGGAGCAAAAATAATTCTCAAAGTCATTGAGTTAATTTACTGTGTGAATGTTAACGTGTAACTTTTTTGTTAGCTGCCTCTGGTTGTGGGATTGGAGCAACGCTGGTTAGATCTTTATAGTGAACGCGCGACTGAACTGATGGAAAG